GTTTTATATATTAGTGTACTCTTACAATGCAGTTCTTGTATTTTTTCTCAGAAATGAGATATTTTCCCGCAGTAAAAAATATCCTATATGTTGACCCGGATAACCAGCTATCATCATACCAAATTTCATCAAAATCCCTCCAGTGGTTTTTCCGTGATGCGGTAACAGACAGACAGACAGACAAAAATTCTAAAAACTATAGATTCGGCCTCTATATCGATAATAATGTCTATTTCAATAAGATTTTCCAAAAAATATTTAATGTAGAGATTCGGCTTAGTTACAATTTTATTATATCTATAGATTACCTATTTACATACGAGTATCAATTTTTTACTACAGCGATAAACAAAGTAGTATTATGCTAGTTTATTATGTATTGTTAAAATCTTCGCCGACTTCCTGATGTTATCTTTGCAATTTTTTTTATGTTTTAGTTGAGTATACAAATATTGAAATTATTATAATTTATGTACGACCGTCTATGTAATGATGTAGTAATAAATAAATATTTAATTCACTTAATTTATTTGTTTATTTAGCGCAAGATTTATATTATTTAGAGGGGGTTTTTTTCTTTTTTTTCTTTGCTTATTTTTTTCATTTTGTTCGAGAATAAATAGTGAAATGTTACTTCATTGGTCCTTTTCCGAAGTGCTTTAGGCAATATTGGACAACGGACCGATCTCAGAGCGGAACTTTATCGGAACTAGTCGGAGATAAACATAAAAAGGTTAATATTAAAACCTTCATAGTAGTTTATATTTATTTTTATGTAATAAAACAGTAAGGAGATCGCATTAGTATGTGTCTATGTAATGAAATTATTAAATAGTATAAAAGTTTTTGTTATATCTTTGCTTTTAAATTTTGAATTTCTATTGATTTCAATGATACATTTTTATGCAAGCTATTTTATTAATCGATAAAGTAATATATAAATACTCTGTTAATAATTAATTAATAGCTTAAGGTTTACGCCTCATAAAATTCTTTACAAAACGAGTTCATGAGTTGTAATTAAAGGTTTAAATTATATTCGATTCTGCAATCGTAGTTAGCAAAAAGTTTAGAGTAAAATTACATTGGCTTCAACATAATTTAAATGTAATTATTCCATCTTTAGAGATAGAATTTGTTTTGGAAAATATGTGACTTACTGTAAAGTAGAAATTTCACGCAAAACAAACAACCAAAATGAGGTATTTCTTTTTGAAATTCATCAAGAATAGGCAATTTTAAAGGAAACCAATTTAGTTCATGGCTACTTAGAAGAAAGATATGACCTTTTGTTATATAATACTTGTCACTGACTAGGAACAAGGTCGCAAAGCGAAGGTAAACTAATTAATTATTGTTATTATGCCAGTCTATTTAAGTATAGAAGACTACATAGTACATATTATATTATTATAATATATCGATACGTTGAATTTATTTGCCACAGTTTTGCTATAGTAGCAAAATTTTTGCTCTGGATTTGCGTGTGTGCACTTCCACTGTGCGTGTGATTATAAGGCAATCTGTTAGCATTTTATAGCCTATTTATTAAAAAGGAAAAGATAGTCTTAGGGAGCGGAGGTATAATCATATAAAGGAATACTTTCTTAGATTTACGCGAATATTTGTCATTTTAAATAAAACTATCTTTTCGGATTATTTCGCGGATTTATTTTGATTTTTGGTTCCCGACGTTTTGAATGCTTTACAGCAATTATGGGTCCGTTTGGCAAGTTGCGGCGTATTCTGCATTTAATTTCATAAAATTATCTAATTTGTAGCTCGATTCATTCGAGTATATCTCAAGGCGCTAATATTATTAAAAGGCAGCGCCAATTTTTTGAGTAAATTTTAATACAATAGTCTATGGGTAAAATATAGGCCACAGTCTATCTCTGGCTAAATTTTATCCAAATCAGTCCAGCAGAAAAGGAGTAATAAGCGTACACACATACAAACTTTCGTATTTATAATAATACTAGCGACTCACCCTTGCTTCGCTCGGGTTCGTCTATAGGTACGTTTTAAATAAATGGATAGTATTCTATCCTAAAGAGATAGACATAATATACTCGTACCACCGCGGACTTTTCTGTAGACCTATATAAGATACACAATTGAACAATACATTATTTTGTTATATTTCAAGGGGTTTAGGCAGCGTTTTGAAAGCTCCCAGCCGGCTTATTTTTTTCCGACCCCTCCAACAAATATCATTATATTTTAGCCAATGTATACAAAAATATAACAAATTATATACTAGAACCTTCCTCTTGGATCACTCTATCTATTAAAAAAACCGCTTCAAAATCCGTTGCGTAGTTTTAAAGATCCAAGCATACATAGGGACAGACAGACAGCGGAAAGAGACTTTGGTTTATACTATGTAGTGAAGTAGGTCTATTCGATAATAATGTTTGCCACGCGAGCCGCAGGCAAAAAGTAGTAAATAATGCGCGTGGGAATTATCTGTTAAACAATCGCATTAAACAGGTACTATTTTCGCGGAAACTAAGCAAAATATTACATTAATAATATATTATTATTTAATAAAAGTTATTATTATTCTACGTAAAATTACAATTGATTTTCGTTATTTTTTTCATATTATTTACTTATAAAACTGTATATATATATATATGTATATATATATGTATATGTAGGTATATGTTTTATGTAGCTACGTTTATGTTACATACATAAATGTCTGCGACTGCACGATGCTATGTTTCTTCGTCAACTTGTTCTCTTCTTTTGAGTTCGCTTTTTATGCAGTCGGATTTTTTTTATTTTTGTAAATTATTTTTTTATGTAATGTTTGTTAGTTTTGGTCAGTTAGACATTTTTAGTTTTATTTAATAATTACTTACTCTAAATTACCTACTTTTAAACATATAAGTTGTATATATTTTTGTAACCGCCTCTTAAAAACTTGAAAAGTTATCTAAAACCTTGCGTTAGTTTTAAATTAATAGCTTTTAAGGTTTCCGAGATATGCCATTTTGAACGAAACACATTGTTACACTCATTTTTTTCATATCTCAAGATCAAAGCGGAGTACGGCAGTGGAAGTCATATGAATCACTTTTCTACATCAAGCCCTTATTGACACATAAGTTTCAATATTAGTTACCATTAGGGGGGCGATTCGCTATACTTATGGCCGATTTCACCAAGGTCACCTAAGTTTAAGGGATCCCCTAAGCATGGTTAGGGGGCTGTTAGGAGTCAGTTTCTGTTTCACCGACAGTTAGGGGTCATCTAAATGTTAAAATGCCACCTAAATATAGGTACTAGAAATACGGGCTCTGACGATGGTAAAACGAAATTTAATTTAGGGGCTAGTTTAGAGGAACTTTTAAGCTAGGGATCCCATACGTAAGTGGTAGCTTATGGCATGTTGGTGAAATCGGGCATTATTCGGCTATACCCTTCACATACAAAACTTTACATAGATACTTACTTATTTATTGAAAAAAGAGTTATGAAAATAGATTCAGAATTGGTGAAGATGTCTTATGACACACACAAAAAATATATTAAATGAGTACCTCGTTAACTTGAAGTTGGTTAAAATAGTAAAAGTTAGTCTAGTTTTAGAAGTGTTGCTAGGTGGAATTTTTTTTTAATATATCACTACACACATATATTTCTTACATTGTATCTTTTACGTATCATTTAATTTTACTTGCGATATTGCGATACATAAAAAACTGATGTTGATTTGTATAGTTAAAGTTTCTTGAAAAAATGCTTTGTATCCAACCAAATACAAAAAACATGGTTGTATTTTAGCACAATCAATTGATGTGTCAAATTGCAGTATTAGAAGGCACGTTCGCCGAAGGCCGTAGCTTTTTGTTAATCTATAGGTACTAATATGTATAAAACTGAAGAGTTTGTTTGTTTATTTGTTTGTTTGTTTGTTTGTTTGTTTGTTTGTTTGTTTGTTTGAACGCGCTAATCTTCTTTATATTATATAGATCTACTGGTCCAATTTGAAAAAATATTTTGAATTTTTTTAGCCTGTTATTTGCAGAGGCTGCATGTACAAGCCACGATAAAACGCCAGTAAAAGATATAAAAAAGGGAAGGAACATATAGAGTCGTTAATATTAAAGTCACGTATCCATAAGTATCTTGAAGGAAAATTATGCTATTTAGATTATTATACATATGTATAAACTAACTTATTTACGTATTTTATGTAGGTAAGTAGGTATGTTTGATTTCATAACACGCTATTTTATTAAGTTTTCGCGGTTAAGTGGCAATTTAGTTTTGAGAACTTGGAATTAAATATCTGTTATCTATACTAATATTATAAATGTGAAAGTTTGTGAGTATGGATGTTTGTTACTCTTTCACGCCAAAACGGCTGAATGGATCTGGATGAAATTTGGCACAGAAATAGATTATAGTCTGGAATAACACATACTACTTTTATCCGGGAACCCAAGCGAAGCCAGGGTGAGTCGCTAGTATGTTAGATATTAGAGAGATAAGCATATGACTAAAGGTGGCATAAACGATTTTTAATTATTTTTTATTATATTATACGATATCTAATTAAGATCGTATCATACAAACATTATTTTAGTAAAGAGATAACTCTGCAAAAAATATTTCAGTACCAAAATTTACATAAAAAAATCTCCGAGTAACTAAATAAATAAAGATATTGATACAATAAATAATAATATGTTTTTATTTATTTTATAGAGAAGTAATGTTATTAAGAAGTAATGTTATCTATTCCTTATACATACATGTCCTTGTTAAGTCATATTAAAACAGCATGGCATAAAATGAAATAAACTTAGAATACGCAGACACACATAGAATAATTTAAAATAGTATAATTTATAAATATCAAATTATTTTAAAATATTCTCAAGGCGCAGATCCGAAAAGGGCAAAATAAATTAAACAAACAGTTCTGTAGTTCGCCAGATTATTTCCTATAAAAAAATAGTTAAAAAATAAATTAACAAAATTACCTTATGTATTTGATTCTGGACAATCTTCGGGAATCCCCAAGAAGCGAGGAGGACAGCCACTATCAGCACGACCACAGATACACCAAAAAACAACTTAGCGTTCCTTCCCAACATTTTTAAACTATAATAAATTAAAAAATTATAAAATAAATAACTAAAATAAAAATTTTATTTAAATAAATACTCTTTTATTATTCCATTGATATTTAATTCGAAGATATGACCGCCTCCGCTCAAACCGTAAACAATTATAAACTTAGAACACATGTGTTTTTCTTTACCTCGTCTTTTTCCGATAAGCAAATGGCCGACGTAAAGCCTGTTTTGCAGAACATCTTGCTAAACCTATCGCACAATGTACGGACTTTTTATTCTACTTTTTGTGGAATTCTTAATCATATCTTTTATCCTTTTATACTATCGACGTAATTATATTAATTGATTTTTAATATAAAAGGCATTTTCTATAACATATATTGATACTATAGAGTACGAACGTAATGTTAATGAATTCGCATCGTACAGTTCCATTTTGGAAGTTCGTTCAATAATAGGCTACATTATGCCTGAGTTACTTCTTATCCCTGCGGGATATTTATATGCTTTTTAATTATTTTTTAGCCTTTAGTTAGGGTCTGAGCGAAGCGAGTGCTATCCACGTACTATAATGTCGATATCACCGTATTGTCTTATGTATCACTGTATCTATACTTATATTATAAGGAGGTAAAGTTTGTGAGTTTGTAAATTGTGAGTTTGTGACGTTGTAGGGGCTAATCTCTAGATCTATTGAACCGATTTAGATGAAATTTGGTAAAAAGATAGTTTGAGGCCCTGGAAAGGACATAGGATACTTTTTATTCCGGAAATCATCCGTTAAGGGGGTGAAAATGGGGATGAAAGTTTGTATTGTGAAGCAAGTTAAGGACGAACCCGAGCGAAGTGAGGGTGAGTCGGTAGTTTTCATATAACTTAATTAAGTCCAATGAATATCTTAAATAAACAAAGAGTCGACCCTATTTAGACATGAGACATCTAACAAGATGAGAAACCAAACCGTGGTAGTATCAAAAGGTATCGAGTAAAATGGCTGTGACATACACACAGACGGGCATGACGGTTACATAGGTTTCGTTCTAGCTATTTGGCTACGGAACCCTAAAAAATAGAGTTAATATTTTTTATTTCTATTAAAAAAATATTCTTAAACAAGACACGAAACTATAATCATGGTCTTGTGTAATGTGTATTGGTATATTATTGTTTTCGTAAATTAGTGAAGAAAAAGTTGTTATTTATAGTAATATTTAGTAAAATAAACTAACTTAGTATTTTCAATAGAAGGCTTTAACTGTAACTTTAGATTTACTTAAAAATGAACGTCAATTTTTAGTTACTGAAAGCCTACCTCAACACTTATTGCATCTTATGGCATTTCTTAGCATGAGCTTCATTGTTATATAAACTTATGTGTCGATTAATTATTGCTTAATAGGGATTTAAATAAAGGTGAAATATTTCTATGGAGTGAAAAATTCTATAGGCAGGTTTGGATGGGTAGTAAATTATGTAAGTCGTCATCGACATGGTCACGTGACGCGTTAACGCTAACACTCAGAGTACCGATAGATGTCAAACCAGATAATTCTAAACAGTTTTAATTCAAGATCAAACAATTAATTTGAATATCCAAAAATAACAACTGTTTGTTTATAGTTTTAAGTTTTCTTTTCTGTCGGTAGTCCCTATGACTGCTTTTTTTATAATCTTTATTGCTTTTGAATTAAGCCTATATCAATATTATTTAATCTAATGTATATTTAATTAAGTAAATTATTATTAAAAAGTGCAAATATAGGTGGAAAATTCAAAGTAGTGGAATCGCATGTCATTGGTCAGACCGAATATAACGTCAAAGTATTATCATAACAGAGCGATTAGAGATTTTGTCACTTCAAACTAAAGTCCTCATTTTTCTATGTATGCTACTGTGACGTCACGCCAAGTTTAGAGTGTCCATATCGGTATGATTGATATTTTAAAAACATTTTTTATTTTTTATACTAAATTGAAGTTTTTTGAAGCTGGATATTTTTTTTTACAATTATATAACGATGTTAGCTATTGTACAAAAAAAAAAAACAAAAAAAATAACGCACATTCTCTATTATTGCTTACATTGTGACCGTGACAATAAAAGCATTTCCTTATTGTATTTGCCATTTAGTAAACTTTATACGTTACTGGCATTACCCGCGGCTCTGCCCGCCTTCAGATGACCAAAACCCAAATAATTAGGTTTTACATATTAGTATACTCTTACATTGCAATTTTTGTATTTTTTCTCAGAAATAAGATATTTTCCCGCGGCAAAAAGTATCCTATAAGTTGACCCGGATAACCAGCTATCATCATACCAAATTTCATCAAAATCTGTCCAGTGGTTTTCTCGTGATGCGGTAACAGACAGACAGACAGATAGACAAAAATTCTAAAAACTATAGATTCGGACTCAGTATCGATAATAATGTCTATTTCAATTAGATTTTCCAAAATATATTTAATGTACAGATTCGACTTAGTTACAATTTTATTATATGTAATAAATAGTACATAGGAATTCGCAAAAAATATTTGAAAGTTACAAAGGTATTTAAAACATTTTTAATGTGGAATTAAAACAGTGTCTTTTGAAATCGCGTAAGAAGAGATGTATTTGTTCATAGAAGAGGATTTAGATCAGTCTAACATGTTAATATTTACTCAGATTATATATTGATGCAACGAGTAATCTTATATAATTAACCTAATGAGGTCGTATCAACATTATTAAGATATAAATCCACTCATTTATATAGACAAATTCTAATTCTGATAAGTTTCTAGAGAATTTTTTTGCAGTAGAGTTCCTCATAACATAAGTTTTGGGCTAAAGGATTATTGAAAATGCATCGCCAAAAGAGTTTAAACAGGGGTTGAAAGTTTATATATATACATAAATTATATATACATATATTATATATACATATATAGGTATTGATGATTAAAAGTGTCTTTATATTGGCAATGGGAAATTCCATCTCGGTTATAGTGTTTTGTAATCTAAGATTTTTTTGTTCTCCTTCATCGTCTAATACCTGCGATTTTAATTTTACTTAATAAACCTAAAACTTTTTGCTAACAATAAAAAACGGTTAGTTTTTTTTATATATGTAAATTATACCTATTCATATATGTTTTCCTCAAAATTTCGACCACTGGGCCAACACTAGTTATTCTAATTAGACGAATACAGACTATTAAATACAAAACTTATATAAAAACTATTAATTTTATTATGTTTTTGTTAAATATGAGTTCTGACACAATTTTCTAATTTATTACCTACTTGTTATTTAAATATATTTTTTGTATATATTTTATATACTACTTTACTGACAATAGAAGAGTATTTTTTAATTTATTTTTTATTTTTTTCTAGTGATTAAAGCTAAAATTTATTTCAGATTAAATAAATAAATATGTTGGGACATTAACACACAGCATCTAGTTCCATGGTAAGCTACGAGGCTTGTGTTATGGATACCAGATAGTTGATATACTACACATATATAACTTTAAATACATACATATTATAAATATAAACACCCATGACTGGAGTAAAAACATTCGTGCTCATCACACAAATGAATGCCCCAGCGCGACTCAAACACGGGACCGCTGGCATAGCATGTAGGGTCACTACAAACTGAGCCAAACGTGTCGTCAAAAAAATTAACAAGAATATCATATATTAAAACATATAATATATTAATATAGAACTATTTAATGTTTTATTTAGATAGGCACCTGACACTCTTAGGTAGACAGGTATGCTGCTTAGTATATAATAATCTGGAAAATAATTTATTTTGGCTGTATTACTAGAGCGTTACTAGAAGGCTTCACTATTCATCAGTAACAGAGGTAAGTAAGATTATATATTTTTTATATATATTTTTAAAATACGAGTACTACCCTAACGAAGACGTTTATGAGGTCTTATATAAAACGATAAAGTGTTTTCTTTATTTTTATCTCATATTCTGATTGACGTAAGCAACTATATAAAAACATTGAGTATATATTTTACAACCACACGATACATTACATTATTTATTTATTTAAATCACGAAATTCATAGAATTTAATAATTTGTTTACTACTTCTTTGAAAATATTAAGCATACGCAATAGAAGGCATAGGCAGTGGTAGCCCAGTGGTAACACGCTCGCTTGGGAAACCGAGTGAAGCGAGTTCAGATCCCGGGTCTCGCACCTCTGATATATTCATGTGCGAATCATTTCCAACATGATTATCACTTGTCTTAACGGTGAAGGAAAACATCGTGAGGAAACCTGCATGTCTGAGAGAACCTATCAAGGTTTCAAAAGACATGTGAATTCCACCCGCACTTGGCCAGCGTGGTGAACTATAGCCTGATTACCCTCGTACTGAAGGGAGGCGCGTGCCCAGCAGTGGGACGTTAAAAAGGGCAAAGTACAAGCAATAGAAAGTTGACAGTATCACTTATTTCTTTAATATAAATATCACTAAGACACGATTATATAAATAATTTTTAGTTACACAAAACTTAAGTACCATTGAAGTGTACAATAGAAATATCTACTGAGGGCTTCAGCTCAACTGCGTACTTACTTTTATATGTATAGTAATGGCTATTAATTCGTTTAAGCATTAAAACAGTACATTTAATAGATTACGCGAAGAGCCACTCTATTACTTTGATTGTTACAATATTAGTTAATTATTTTTACTTTTCATGTCATATAAATGTAATACTAATATAAAGTGTGTTTTGTTTGTTTGTTTGTTTGTTTGTTTGTTTGTTTGTTTGTTTGTTTGTTTGTTTGCTTGTTTGCTTGTTTGCTTGTTTGCTTGCTTGCTTGCTTGTTTGTTTGCTCGCTTGCTTGCTTGCTTGTTTTCTTGCTTGCTTGCGTGCGTGCTTGCTTGCTTGCTTGTTTGTTTGTTTGTTTGTCTTTCTTTCACGTCGAAATGGAATGACGGATTGGAGTGATTTTTTGTGTGAAGATAGTTTGTAGACTGGAGAGTGACATAGGCTACTTTTTATCTCATTCCCACGGGAAAACACGTTATAATGCAACTCAAAAAATATTTATGATCATAATTACTTGAAACTTAGTATAAATGCTCTTCAATTCAATTAAAATAAAATAAGTACATGTTTCAGCTTTTCCCGAAATTCATCTCATAAGGGGGTAAAATAGGTGGTAAAAGTTTGTATGGAATCTACCTTTTTTTTTTGTAGTTTTATTGCGAGCGAAGACGCGTTTTCTGCTAGTTTTGTATATAAGCGACAGAAATTTTTATTACTAACTAGCGATTCATCCTCGCTTCGCTCGGGTACTCGTCCCTAGATACGTTTTAATAAATATGAATATCTTTTGTGAGTGTACCTTAAGAAATACACTCGAGGCTAGTATATGTATATTATATATGTATGATGAGCA